CGCAAGAGGCCCCTCGAAACGCCCCCCGAGGTGGTCTGCACCAAGCGCAGCAACACGGGAGGTGAGAGGGGGCTGCGCTCGGGGTGGGGGAGCGGGCAGGGGGCCTCGCCTTTCTCCATCCTCCTCTCTCCCCAGTTGGCAGGTGCAAGGGCTCTAGGGAGGGGAAAGGCGCCCCTCCCTAGACCCGGAGCCGAGCGGGGAGTTGGGGAGAGTCCGGACCCCCCTCCCCTTCTGGCCGCGGCCCGGGGCTGGGAGCTTTGTCTGCGACCAGAGGAGTTGGGGGGGGAGGGGGTGGTAAGTGTCCTTGGGGGGGCGCAAAGGATGGGGGCGTGGGTCCCTCCGAGCCGGTGTCCGTGTCCTTGAGGGGTGTGTGATGTGACCCTTTGGGGCAGGGGTGTTCCCGGCTGGCGCGTCCTGGCGGGGGGAGGGGAAGGAGGAGAGGAGGCCTGTGGACTCGGAGCTTTCCAGTCTCCTCCCTGGGGATGTCCTGAGCAGGGATGTCCTGGAGGGAGGCATGTGCGGGCCACGGGCGCAATTGTGTGTGGGCACCAGCGGGTGGGTGTGTTGGTGAGATGGAGGAAAGGGTGGGTGTGTAGAGCTAGGTGGGAGAATGTGTGGCTGGGACAGGTGTGTGTGTGTGTGTGTTCGTGTGTATTCGTGTGTGCGTGTGGGCCCTGTAAGGCCTGAATGTGTGGCATTAGGGATCATGGATACGGCAGGAAAGAGGGTGTGTGTGTGTGTGTGTGTCTGTGTAAGAGAGAGGGCAGACCAGAGGGGCTGGGATCCATGTTTGAGACCCTGGTATGTGTAACAAGGAAAAGTGTGTGCATGTCACCCCAAAAGTGGCAGCGGTAGAGGAGTGAGGGTGTGTGTGACATGCCAGCGGGTGTGTGGGGGACGCTGAAGGGGCTGGCTCTGGGTGTGAGCCGTGAGAGGCTGTGCGGATCAGGGGGAGGCAGTTCAGTATGTGACACAGGCGTGTCTGGGGTGGGGTGGGACCGGGAGAAGCCGGTGAGGGTATGTGACCAGAAAATGGTGTGGGTGTGACTCCAGAGAGGCTGTGGCTGGGTGTGACACATGGAGGTGTGCAACAATGACATCAGAGGGGGTGTGTGCCACCAGCGGAGGTGGGTGTATGACGGGGGAGAGGTTGGGGCTCCGGGGGTGAACCGGGAACAGGGAACATGTGCCTATGACATCCAAGGGGTATGAACAGGGAAGGGTGCGTGTGTGACAGCCCGAGTGTGTATAGTTGTAACAAGGGGAGAGGTGTGTGTGTGTGTGTGTGTGTGTGATGGTTGAGTGTGTGACACCGGGGAGGTGGGGATGATTGCGTGTGGTTGTCAAGGGAGTGTGTGTGTGACACCACAGAAGAGGGGCCGTCCCTGTGTGTGACCTGAAGAGGGATGTGTACAGGGGAATAAAAGACACGCTGGGGGCGCTAGGTGTGTGTCTCAGGAGCAGGCAATTAGTCGGGGGGGTCCTCCGAGCCCAGCCCATTAGCCCCGGAAGAGGGGAGACCCCAGAGCAGACAGGCCCCTCCTGGCGGTCACCTTGGCCAAAATCTCTTGCTTCCTCCGGCCTTTTCCTGGGGATGGGAGCGGGATGGCCTCAGGCAGGGTGCACCTTCCCCGCTGCCAGGCTGCCGGGCACTGGAGTGGGTCGGGTGGGGACCTCCCGCCTCCTCCCCCCCCCCCAGACTAACACAGTTGAGTCTCTTCCTTCTATCCCAGTGCTCCCCCCACCCCTGTCCAGGTGGGACAGGAATCTGGGACCCCCTGGCCGCCTCTGAGGGTGTCCAGCAGAAATTGGAGGAAAGGGAAGTTGGGGGAGGGGTTGGGAGTGAGTTTCCTGTCCTTCTTCCTGCTCCCCCACCCCCAACACACACATGAATACGGCCCCTCCGACTTCCTTCCCTCCTTCCTGTCCCATTGCCATTCCCAGTCGCCACCGAGAGGGTCAGGGACCCAGGTGGCCCCAGAGCCCGGCCTGGCAGGCAGTCCAGCCCCGCCCCCGCTGATGGGGAGGGGGAATCCCATTCTTCTCTTAAAGGGGCTGAGATGCTCCAAAGCAGTGCACTCAGAGCAGCACCACCTTCCTGCCAAAGGTGGTCAGGCCCGAGCCCTTGGCACCCTACTCTGAGTCAGACTCTGAGATATGGATTAATTTCCCAATAAATCCCTCCAGGGAGATGATTTGGGCTGCCTTTTCAGATGAATAGAACTGAGGCTCAGAGAAATGAAGCCACGGCCCAGTCACACAGCTCATCGGTGGTGGAGCTGGGATCGGTCCACCCCGGTGCCAGGTTCCAGGGCTCCTGTGCTTACTCTCGGCAGCAGGGAAACTAGGATGAGCCCTGAGGGACTGCTCCTCCAGGCTCTCGCCCCTCCTCCCCTCCCATTGACCCACGGGTAAACTGAGGCCCGGAAACGCAAAGGGGCAAGCCTCCATTTAGAGCAGTGGTCCTCAACCTTCTGGCCCTTTAAATACCGTTCCTCATGTTGTGACCCAACCATAAAATTATTTTCGCTGCTACTTCATCACTGTCATGTTGCTACTGTTATGGATCGTCATGTCAATATCTGATATGCAGGATGGTCTGAGGCGACCCCTGTGAAAGGGTCGTTCGACCGCCAAAGGGGTCTCGACCCACAGGTTGAGAACCGCCGATTTAGAGACACACTCAGGGGCAGGGATGGGCAAGGGTCTGAGACTTTCATCTCAGAAGTGAGGGCTCTTTCTTTTTTTATATATATATATTTTATTGATTTCTTACAGAGAGGAAGGGAGAGGGATAGAGAGTTAGAAACATCGATGAGAGAGAAACATCGATCAGCTGCCTCCTGCACACCCCCTACTGGGGATGTGCCTGCAACCAAGGTACATGCCCTTGACTGGAATCGAACCTGGGACCCTTGAGTCCGCAGGCCGACGCTCTATCCACTGAGCCAAACCAGTCAGGGCAAGTGAGGGCTCTTTCTGACACTTTCATGACTGTGGGGTGTTGGGTCAACATCCCTTTTCTGAGCCTTGGTGTTCCTACCATCTGCCAAATGGGGAAATAACAGTGACCACAACCATAATAATAATAAAAGCTACCAGTGTAATTGCTTAATGCCTTACATGCAGCATTTCATTCATTTAATTCTCCCAGTATCTAGGATGTAACATTAATAATAATAATAATAATAATAATAAATTACAATGATGGCTAGCATTGAAGGTCTGCAGTGTGCCGTGCCAAGAACAATTATGGAAAACATTTGGTACCGGCCAAATCATTGAATCCTTACAATTCTATGACGTTATCCATCTTACCGACGGCAAAGTGCGGCCCAGAGAGGTTAAGTAACTTGCCCGAAGTCAGTCAGCTAATCAGAGGCAGAGCCAGGATTCGAACTCGGGAGGCTGCCTCCATTGTGTGGGCAGACACCGTAGGGAACCTCATTTTCAGGCGAGGACAGGCTCCGCGAGCTGGGGAACTCTTCCGGGGTGTCACAGCAGGTTGGGGCAGACGGGGCAGACGGAGTTCTTGCCCATGGCACCTGCCCCGTTCTTGGGGGCCGACAGAGGAGATGGTGGCTGTTAACCTGGCTTCCGGGTACCGTGACTGGCAGGCAGGGGCGGTTGGCAGGGAGATGAAGCTCTGAGGACAGGAGGCGTTAGGTGAAGAGGTGGCTGGAAACTCCAGTTAGGAGCGGCAGATGACCCCGGGCTGAGGGGCAGTAACAAGGAACGTCCCCCTTGAGTACAGATGATAGCTCTGAAGGTGCCAATAGAATGGCCCCCGTACTTCTGGCTGTGTTCCCACCTCTGTCGCCCCCATATATAAACAGAAACGCACACCTCACCCCCCAAACGTAGCTTACACCAGCCAGGTCTTGCTCCCGGCATCCCTCACATCCCTTAACACAAAGACAACGGCACCAGGGTTAAGGGCGCTCGGGTGGGACCTCCCAGGGCCCATCTCCTCCCTGTCCCTGTCCCGTGCCTGGTGTGGGGCCCTCAGGCACCCTGTTTCGCTGCTCTCAGTCTCAGTCTCCTCGTCTGCAAAATGGGGACCGTAAGTCCTCCCTCTGCCTCTCCAGGCTGCTGTGTGGGTTCAATGAGGTTGCGTAGGTGAAGTGAGGCCTGGCAGATGGCAAGCACTCAATAAACAATAGCTGTCATTTAGTATTATTATTATTATTATTATTGCCATGAGAATGTCACTGTCCTGTTCCACCACTCACTGGTGAATTCCCCCAAGGGAGTCATACCCCACCCTCCTTCCTCTCACTCAGAGACCGTGTCACCACACAAAGGCAGCATCACACCTTCCGGCTGCGCTCATCCCTCCAGGGGCCAGCTCCTGTAGTGTTACACTTCTCACAGGAGCTCGGGCCGCACCATCCTTCACAGCAGCGGTTCTCAACCTGTGGGTCGCGACCCCTTTGGCGGTCCAACGACCCTTTCACAGGGGTCGCCTAAGACCATCCTGCATATCAGATATTGACATGACGATCCATCACAGTAGCACCATTACAGTGATGAAGTAGCAACGAACATAATTTTATGGTTGGGTCACCACATGAGGAACTGTATTTAAAGGGCCAGAAGGTTGAGAACCACTGCTTCACAGAAAGGCATCCCAGGCCTGGCGTTGCCCCCCCCCCTCCTCGGGGGTACCCTCCAGCACCCTCACACGCCCCATGACAAGATCAGCATCAGCCTCAGCCTCCGCACACCTCACAGAACACGTGACCCTGCCGCCCCGGACCCCAGGCAGGAGCAGGTGCCATGGGTACAGCACCCGGCTTTGGCTTCCCCAGGCCACTGTCACAGAAAACAGCACCTCCACAACGTACACCCCTCAGCCCTGCCTTTGCATGAGTGACCTCCCATTCAGATCAAAGCCAGCTTTCAGGGTCCACTCTCTGACCGTAAAAAGGGCCACTCCTTCCCAGCACCCCAGATCTTCGGGGCAGGTAAACGTTACTTAGAGGGGCAGGGGGTGGTCACTGTTTGGAAGCCTTCAGAAGCACTCCTGAGGAGGTGGGCACCGAGGGCGGGTGGGAGACC